AACAAATTCAGTTCGTACAGAGGAACCTTGCGCTTTCACTAGAACGTCAGTTAGTCATAATTCAATCTGTAAAATTGTATTACTCTGCTGAACATGAGAAAACTCATATTTGTTGCATGATATATCACTGTTTTGCGATTTTCTGGATTTCACTTGATTCGATACGTTGAGCAGCTGAGGAGTACAATGACTGAATCACACTAAACAGTCCCATTTTCTCAAATAGATTGAGGAGATAACCATTCGCAATTGTTGTTCACTTAGTATCGGAATGTTCCGATTGTGCATGCAGTTCGTATGTGAATGAAATTCTGACAGTGGTTACTTTCGTAATGCCCAATTGCGAAGACCATTTTTTTGCCGCACATCAGGTGAATCCATCGTGAAAATATTAAATGAATCTTGAATTAGGCAATTATTGTGATTCGCCAAATTTTGATTTTGCCTGACGTTTTAATTTGTCGCTTTCGAGCTAACACGATAATGGAAATAATTCAACAACTCCCTTTTGTTTTTGTTTGCGGTTTTTCATCCTGTACGATTCTTGAGCCATTTATTCCAATACGCTGTTCATTTGACGAGAGTATTGTGGCTGTTCACCGTGAAGTCAGCTCCTCACGACCTTCTAAGCCAGTGGTTCTCAACCTTTTAAGATGCCCTCGTACCCCTTAACCTAGCTCGCACACCCGCCCTCACCGCCCTCATCCCACCCTCTCTCGGGTCCCCTGGCACCCACCTAGTTTCTAGGAAGGAAATTCCCATAATGACAAGAATTCCAGTTACATTTTTCTATTGGTGAAATGCACCCAACAGGGGTCCATGGATCTCGAGTTGAGAAAGCTTGTTCTAAGCGTTCCATTATCGGGTTTTGAAGGAAATATGGGAAATTTGCATTGCAGGTTTACGAGGAGATGCTGAGAAGGCCAACCATTCTCTACACTTTGCTCGCTGTCATCCTGCAATTTCCACACTCAACCAGCGACACCAATTGCACAACATCACATAAGTGGGCACACTTCAAATTCTAATCAGTTCAACTAGAATTAGATGAGGTGGCACACACCTAGTTTCTAGCAAGGAAATTCCCATGATGACAAGAATTGCAGTTACATTTTTGTATTGGTGAAATGTAACTGCATTACATTTCAGGCGTTACAAACGGCAGTTCAACTTCTTCAATTCACCGGGTAAGTCGAAATGAAATTACCTTTTAGTTCAGTCAGTCATTCGTAGCCTTCGTCCTGATCACATCTAATGGTCCCCATCGTACTTTTGGTTCCTTCGTTTCTTATGGTAACTGATAAATGTTCTCGAATCGATGCATAAGTGCACACGGTCGTCGTCTTAATTCGGAAAGAGCAAAATTTTTCATCGATTCCAGGTTGGATTCAATTTGATTCAAGAAGTTTCATGTCAATGCCACAACAACCGTTTCTTAAACTAAGTTCGTGAACAGGTTGCATTACTTGATGCTTATTATTCGAAAACAGTTGGTCGTCTTGCGCACAAGAAACGCCTGAATTGAAAGCAAACGCCGCCTCGCAGCTCCAAAATCTATCTGCATCTAAGATCACTTTAACTCTGCGCTGAGTTTTTGAAGACGAAAACCTCAAAGATTAGAAAACGAAAGTTGAGATGAAAATTTTCTCACATTAACAAAATAAGATGCAAAAAATCCATTAAAAATTCGCAGTCTTCCTGATAGAAACATGTTCCATTAATAGACAATATCATGAATTCCTTCGAGCTCGCCGTATCCATCATACAATATGACCTGGAAGGTCGTTTCGTCATTTTTCGCCTATCAATCCATAAGGATACAAAAACGAATGCTCTAGATGTGCAGCACTGTAGTGCATGTGTGAATACCACGATCCTTGAAATCCCAACAACGAAAAACTACTCTCTGTCAGACCCAAATCGCTCACCGACCACGCGATCTCGTGAAAGAGTGATCACTGCTCAGCTGATGACATTCGCATGGAACTGGATAATAAATGCGAAAAAATCTACCAGATTCATACCAACAAGGACCAATTCACACGCATTGTTGCAAAACAGCAATAAAAATACGATCAGCTGATCTCGGGCGGGCTCGAACCGCCGACCTTCTCTGTGTTAGACAGATGTGATGACCACTAAACCACGAGATCCCTGAATATACACTTGATGTATCATAGAATTCAGACTTGCAGAAACGTTTCCCAGATGTTGTATATTCGGACTTTGCTAATTAATAAGATTCCCTACGTGCATCTTGTAAAGGTTCTCAAGCTTAGCATTGCAAAAAAAAGTGAATTTGTTTCATAGCCACTGAAATTTCAGCGAATACTGGACAATTCTCGCAACAATGGCCGTCAGCAAATTCGATGCAAGTCATCAACACTAACAATCCAAACTCACAATGGCCTCAACAGCGACAATTTTTCGTTTCACCGTGGCAACAGCAACAACAACAACAACAGCAGCAGCAGCAGCAGCAGAATATGGCTCAATGGCAAGCCCAATGGCAGCAACCTCAGCAGCTCAATGGCCGTGTTCAATGGCAGCAGTCCCGGACGAATTTTCCGACCCAATGGCAGCAACCTCGAGGCAGTTCGCAACTCCAATGGCAACAAGCACAACAACCAACAAATATGGCTCCACTGCAGCAACAACAACAGCAACGTATGGTATCAAGTCGGGCTGCGCAAATCCAACCACTCCAACCACTGCAAACCGTTCAAACCACCGCACAACAGCTGTTTGCAGCACCGCAAACTCAAACAGCACCACCAGCCGCAGCATTTTCGTCGGTGACCAGGCAGTGGTGGGAAACCACCACTCCAGCACCAGCAGCCGTATCCAGCCAGCCGGCTCCATCATCCAGTCCGCAGAATTTCTTCCAGTCCGCGCAATTCTCATCAGACGGACCCATTCCACCGGCTCCACAACCAAGTTTTTCTGCGTCGTCATTCGCTCAAACCGAACGGCATATGCCAAGCGTGAAGCCGGAACGTGGCGTTGCTCTGACACTGAACCGTGTCCGATATAAAGATTTTAAGGCTCGTTTCGCGAATTTTATCCATCGTTCTGCTGCTGCATCATAACGGCCCCCGTGATGATCCTCATCCAGCCTATCGTTTTTACAACACACACACTCTTGTTCTCAAGCAGAGTCAGTCACTACTTACAAGTTGGAATGAATCATTATTATCTGTTTGTTTGTTTCAAATCCTTCTCATTCAATGCTCTCCGGTTGAACGAGGATCGTTTGACTATGTGGAAGTTTCGCTGGCTAATCTAATCGGATCAGATATGAGAAATTTTTCATTGCAAACTTGCTTGAATATTGAATGAGACTGTTGGAATTTTACCGAAATGTTCCTTTGTAAAAACAAAATTTTCATTAAATGACATCTTCGGCTATTCCATGAACGCAATTAATCGCTTGTTCATCGCTCATTCGTCGTGTATTTATCAATTATCTATTGGTGGTGTTAAAATGAATTAATTTTTATCTTTTTTGTACAAATGAAGTGTTCGTTAATATTGTTAAACAATTTATCATTGCGCAACGACTATAAAGAGAATCTGTTCGAAAAAATTGCTGCATATCACCTTATTAATTTAATTTCAAAATGTCAGCGAATGAACATTAAGAAGTGAACAGACCAACACGTCTATCATTGATGAAGAAACAAAAACTTTATTTTAACGTAAGAAAGCTTTATCGTGCTCAGCTGTTACATAAGAAAGTCGTGTTGATTCATATCGCTGTGTGTATGAGATTACTGTGCGAGTTTTGAATGTAAATTTGACGACATTACTATTTGACGTGTAGGATAGCGATGACATTTTGACGTAATTAACAGTTGTTACGATAACAAACAAGTATCAACAATTTTCGTCTGAATCTTGTGAAAGATCAGCATCTGTTAGGTGATTATAGCCATTCTTCTCTTGCCATTCCTTCTGAATTCGTTCATATTCTTGT